GGGGATTCGAACCTGCCACCTTGGGTGTATGTGGCTGGTGCCTTAGCCGGTTGAGCCACAGGCGCCGAGCCGGAAAAAAATCTTAATGAAGATACCATAAAAAAGTATGAAGGGGAAAATTGATTATTTAATTAGAATTAAATATTTTTATTCACCACAGTGCCATAGATCAAAAGACTTGGAAGGGCTGTCTGTGGCTGAGCCACACCTGTGGCTCACATCCTAGCACTCTGGGAGGCCAAAGTGGGTGGACAGCCTGAGCTCAGGAGTTCAAGACCAGCCTGAGACTCTTCTCTACTAAAAACAGAAAAACTAGCTGCGCGTTGTGGCAGGTACCTGTAGTCCCAGCTACTCGGGAAGCTGAGGCAAAAGGGTCACGGGAGCCCAAGAGTTTGAGGTTGCTGTGAACTATAATGCCATGACACTGTACCCAGAGCAACAGAGTGAGACTCTTGTCTCAAAATAAATAAAGTAAAATAAAATAAAATACTTGGAGGAAATATTAGCAGAGTATAAGACCACCAAGCAATTAAGATCTAGAACATAAAAGAATTCCTGCAAGCCAAGAAGACAAGAAATCCATAGGAAAGTGGAAAAGGATATAAGCAGGCAATTCAAGAAAGGGGAAATCCATATGCCTAACAAATACTGTACCTGAAAATGAACACAATGGGATACTGTTACACCCACCAGATGATAAACATTACCAAACCTTGAGGGAATACTGAGAAATGGGTATTTTTAGGCACCACTGTTGGAAGTAAAGTGGTATGACCATTCCGAGGAACAATCTAGCAAAATCAGACATGACCTAGTATCTGACCCTGGAGTAGATAACCCAGAGAAAAACACCAATATCCACAAGGAGACAACTGCCAGAATATTCATTACAGTATGGCTTGTGGTGGCTAAAATACTCCCTAGGGGAGTGAGTGAAACAGTCTCTGCACAAGCAGTAGCACCACGCAGCACTCAGAAGTGAAAACGAGATTACTACAAAGCATAAATTATTTCAAAAACACGATGTTGAGAAAAATGGTTTTTTAAATCACAGAATATGAATATATATATATATAAATTCAAGGTAACACATACACAGAATTATGCAAAGTGCACTGTAAAGTCACTTATTTAATACAACAGAGTACGTGTCTGAGAAGGGGGAATGAAACGGGACTGAAAATAGGTACGAAGGGAGGAAGACAGAAAAGGGGCCTTGTACTGGTCCTCAGTTCCCAAGAACTGAGAAGGACCTTTAACTCAATTCTGTGCACAGGCGTTTCTTTAAAAAAACAAAAACAAAAAGCGGCTACGAGGGAGAGGGTCCCACACCCAAGGGGCAGAGAATGGCACAAGTCCCCGCGGAGCCTGGAGAGCGCAGCAGACGGAGCAGAGCGGCTCGAGCCCGAGGGGAGGGCGCGCGCCCCTTCGGGGGCTCCCCTAGCGCTCAGGGGGCCGCCGGAGCGGAGCGCGGGCTCGACCCCTTCCTTCCCACCGCGCTGCGCTCCTGCGGCCGGCCCCGGCCTTCCTCCTCAGCCATCCTGCTCACCTGGCTCCCGCTGCGGGCGCACGCCTCGGGACCGCCATGACCTGGATCCGACTACCGCTGGACCCCGCGCCCCCGAGGTCGGCTCCTGGCAGAGTCCGAGGAGCGCGGGGCTGACCACGGAGGGGCGGAGCCCCAGAACCACAGAGACGGCGGCGGATAGAGAGGAAGGCGCCTGGGCTGCCGCCGCTCCCGGAAGCAACCCGCTGCTCCTCTGTCGGCTCATCCGGCGCCTAGAGCGCCTCGGATCTGGGACGTTCTCTCTCGACAACAGGTAGTCAGGGGTTAACTGTTTTTACTTTTTCTTTTCTTTTTTTTTTTTTTTGTTTTGAGACAAAGTCTCACTATGTCACCCTGGTAGAGTGCCGTAGCGTCACAGCTCACAGCAATCTCCAACTCCTGGGCTTAAGCGATTCTCTTGCCTCAGCCTCCCAAGTAGCTGGGACTACAGGCGCCGCCGCAACGCTCGGCTATTTTTTGGTTGTAGTTGTCACTGTTGTTTGGCAGGCTCGGGCTGGATTCGAACCGGCCAGCTCTGTTGTATGTGGCTGGCGCCTTAGACGCTTGAGCTACAGGCGCCGAGCCGGGGGGAAGAGGGACGTTAACTATTTTATGAAAAGCTTTTTTTTTTTGCTACAGAGTCTCACTGTGTCTCCCTCAGTAGTGTGCTGTAGCGTCACAGCTCACAGCAACCTCAAACTCTTGAGCTTAAGCGATTCTCTTCCCTCCACCTCCTAAGTAGCTGGGACTACGGGCGTCGCCACAATGCCCCGCTATTTTTTTTTTTTGCGTTTGTCATCGTGGCTTAGCTGACCCGGGCCGGGTTCGAACACTCCAGCCTTGGTGTATGTGGCGGCGGCATAACCACTGTGTTATGGGCGCCGAGGCGACAAGTTTTTTAGATTCTTAATATAGTGGATGTTTCATACGCTCTCCCAGAGAGGACAGCTTGATCTTTTAACAGTATAAATTAGGGGTGGCGTCTGTGGCCCAAAAGGGTAGGGCGCCGGCATATCGTATGAGTTCAAACCCAGCCCTGGCCAAACAAACAAAAAACAGTATAAATTAGGCTGCAGATCGCAATTAGAATAAAATGGAAGCGTTTCCACGTGATTGGTCCCTCCCCTTGATCTTTGTGTTTGCACAGCCAGAAGCTTTAGGTTCAGCTTTAGGGTCTTTGCAGTTGCTGTTGTGTCAACTTAAACCCCCCCCTCCTAGAAATTTCTATGGCTGGCTTTTTCTCATCATTAGCTGAAAGGTCTCCTGCTCACCCTACTTCTGCCTCACTCATGGCTGTATTCCCAGTACCAAGATCTCTGCAAGGGCACAGTACTTAATAAATGCAAAAGAACCTCTGTAAGTTGACCATTTAAGGAACTGTAACAAACTGGTCAACATACAGAGGTGGTCAACATAAGGAACTAGGCTTTACTGTACTGATACATGTGGTGCATGTCTGGTCTATGAAAATTAGGTCAACTCAATGTAGGGAGGTGGTCCACTTGGGAAATTCTGTATTTTAAAATTTTGAAATGAATCAGCAGGGCGCGATGGCTCACACCTGTAATCCTAGCACTCTGGGAGACCCAGGCACGTGGATTGCCTGAATTTAGGAGTTCAAAACCAGCCTGAGCAAGAGTGAGACCCATCCCCCCAACCCCCCACCCACCCATCTCCATCTCTAAAAATAGCTGGGTACTGTGGCAGATGCCAGTCCCAGCTACTTGGGAGGCTGAGGCAAGAAAGCAAGAGGATCACTGGAGCCCAAGAGTTTGAGGTTGGTGTGAGCTATGACATCATGGCACTCTACCCAGGGTGACAAAGTAAGACTCTGCCTCAATAAAGTAAATAAATAAATGTTGAATAAATGAAATGCTTATCAACTGACTATAGTGCCCAAACGCAGGTGGGAAATTGTTCAAGAAAACAAGCAGCAGGTTCTTCCAGAGTCCTAAATTTAAATACGGATGTACCTTCTCACCCTCCTTCAAGCATTATTGTTGACTTAATTATGTCAAACACTCAATGGCATGCATATATTGCCTGTCTTCGTGGAGCTTGCAGTCTAGCAGGGAAGATCAATCAATTAAAAATTACAGTTGTCTTGGCTCGGTGCCTATGGCTCAACCGGCTAAGGTGCCAGCCACGTACACCTAAGGTGGTGGGTTCGAATCCCCAGCCCGGACCCGCCAAACAACAATGATGGCTGCAACCAAAAAATAGCCGGGCGTTGTG